TACATAGACATGGTTACTTAAGTTAAAAAAAAAAAACAGTATGGACATTGCAATTTATTTCCCTGGCCACATCTGCAGTCCTCATGCCTCCTTGCAGCATGCCTAAGGCACATTCACGCAGATGAGTAGGGACCCTGGGCATCTTTCTTTTGGTGTTTTTCAGAGTCAGTAGAAAGGCCACTTTTAGTGTCTTAAGTTTTTATAACTGGGACCTTAATTTCCTACCGTCTGTAAGCTGTTAGTGTCTTAACGACCGTTCCACAGGTGCGTGTTCATTAATTGGTTATGGTTCATTGAACAAGCATGGGAAACAGTGTTTTAACCCTTTACAATGAAGATCTGTGAAGTTATTTGGATTTTTAGGAATTATCTTTGAAATACACTTTTTTTGTTTGTTGCTGAGTATCATACGTTTTGCTATTTCGTAACATTTCATACTAAATGGAGTGTTACGGATTTAGATATAGAGTAATACAAAATGCTCTGAGATCAGATTGCATAGTGGCATAGAGGTGCTTAAGGAAGTTGCACACATGGGAAACTTTTTTGTAGCTTAGGGTCTAGGAAAAATGTGGCTTTTATAAGCTCATTTAATGCAATGCTGCATAATTTTACATGACTGGAGACTTTGGCAGAATCTTTAATACCGCACAAATGATCGACATGACCGGCTACTTTGACACTGACAAACTGAATCTGAGATCAATTAAAAACCACCTTGTCTTGAATCCATCAATGGACTAGGTGTGTGACTCGCCCAATGATGCGCAGCTCACTCGCCAGTGATGTTCGTGGCAAAAGCCTATCTCGCTTTCTCTCTTGCTTTACTTTGCAAAACACTATTTGGTAGTTGATCAAATATTTTGGTAGCCTACAGCAGACCGGTGTCTTATCTTTTCAGCAGGGGCCATTTGCTTTCCAACCTGTTTTTTCCTGTGATTTGTATTTGAAATATTGGGAAAGGCCTGTCTGATATGCCTTGTTATTGGACTACAAACAATCCACAGCTAGGCAATAAAAAGCTATTGATCTTCTGCGGCTAAATTATAGGCCTCATGGTATAGTAGGCTATTCTGAATTATTTCATTTCTAAACAGACAGCAGAAATTCTATAACTTTGGCAAATGTATTGTAATTTATCATGGGTGCTGCAGCTCCTCCACAACACGTTGCACTCCAGAACACTGATTCTATAAGGAAATAAATGCTACCAGCTGTCTCACGTCAGAATTAGATGTTCATCCATGTTTCTCAAATGTCTAAGTTGTTCCAAACATCACATTTCTAAGTGTTTTAAGGTTAAGTTCCGGCATTAACTCCAATTTTGGAAGAGGCAGACGCTTACAGCCATCCCCATACACAACCAAAAGAAGAATTGACAGGGGCATCTCGATCGCTTTTATTATAATTTTGACATTGCAAAAAGTGAAGGGGGAATAGTGTTTTCTCACTAATGGAGGAATGACTAAATCTTTACTGAAACGGTGAGTATAAAGCTATATCACGGGTAAATCGACACCCAGAGAAAATAAAACACAACGATAACTAAAATGGGCTTTATTCTGTTGTGATTACGTGAAGGGAGGACTGCACGTCACACACTACTTGTGGTTTGAGCTGGAGTGAGATTTTAGTTCTGTGTTGCCAAGATGACTGCTAATCCGCTGTGCTTTGTGTTCCTGGTTGATGCTTTGCAAACAATGATCTGTTCTTGACGAGTATAAATAAATGTTAATTAAAGCTGTATTTGGCCAGGTGACCATCTGTAGCCTCTTACCTGTTACTACCACACCTGAACCAGCTACTACCACACCGGTACCCAGCATCATGCTCCTTTTAAGACTGACTGCGTTCACCTGTGAGTATACTGAGGCAGTTTAGAATATACATTCCAATATTTTCCAGATGTTTCTAAATTTGTTAGTTTGTATTTGTAAGTAGGTGAAGTCCAATATAAACAGTATGACCCAGGTGTAGTATACAGCATCCTGTATAATCTGAGGACTAGGTGCTGTTCCATGTCTGTCTGTACTCTGTATCATACTGTACACTATATACTTACTGTACACTACTTCTCCTGTAAAGAATTGCGAAGAGACTGACCAAGGTTAGAAAAGCTGAACTAGCTGTGTGATGTTTTTCAGTGCTGGCTGCAGCTTGCTGTACACTACCGGCTGCAGGTACGTGGTTGTGTGGGTGGTTGTGAGTGTGCACGCATCATCTATAATGTGATGGTAATTATGTTTCTTCCTCAGCAACTAGAGTGGTCACCTGTGACAATGGAGACAACGTCCAGTTCCTGAGCTGTGGTATGAACACACACTACCCTGATGGTCTCTCCGTAGTGCTGTCTGTCTCTTTACCTGTTCTTATTCTTTCCCTGCTAGATTCTGGAGTGATCTTCATTGAGAGAGCTCTGTACGGACGGACTGACGGAACCACCTGCAAAGAAGGACGAACTGCCAACCAGCTGACCAACACGCGGTGTTCACAGACGGGCGCCCTTGAGGTCCTCTCACAGAGGTACACACAGTGTTTATTTGATAAAGAAAGGCTGGGATTGTCAGAGGCGTGTTGTTGAAAAGCACATCACAGTATCGTCTATGCTTTTTTTTTAAAGCCATTTTTCCTGACGTTCGCGGTAAACACTGCAGATGTCTGTTTAAAATGTCAAGCGCTGCATGCTTGTTGACAACGCCTTTGATTAAATCCCAGCCATAGCTCATCTTACCTCCTGATATCCCCCAGGTGCAATGGGAAACAGGTGTGTGAAGTGAACACTGAAGTTTTCCGTACTTCTGACCCCTGTGTCGGAATCTACAAATACCTGGAAACCACCTACACCTGCATCCTAGCAAGTCAGTCTGTCTTATTATTATAATAATACACCAGGCTAATGTGTGTCTGCTATGAGAAGGTATGCCTTTGTCTGCCCAGCAGTGGCCAGTGTGGTGTGTAATTCTTGTTTTGTCCTGGCAGCACGCAGCATCACGTGTGAAGGCTCTGAAGCTCTACTAGAATGTGGTAAGGATCTGATGCTCTACTAGAATGTGGTAAACTTGTCAACACTCTGCTGTACAGTATACTCACATCTCATATGATTATGTATTATTCACGGTTTATATTACCGTCACTTGCACACCAAAGACCTCCAGCCTTACCTCTGTTCCTCCTCCTCAGATGATGGTACGATCCAGATCCACAGTGCCAACTATGGTCGCCGTGACCAGCTAGTGTGTTCCTTTAATCGGCCCGCTAACCAACTAGCCAACACCAACTGCCTCAGCCAATCCACCACCGCCAGTAAGGTGGAAAAGAGGTACTGAAACCTGCAGTGTGTACTGTAGTGTTAACCTCTACCTGTAGAAACATGACTAGCGTTAACCTGTATCTGTCGTTGACACAGGTGTGATGGGAATAGCCAGTGTAACGTCCCGGCGTCCAACTCTCTGTATGGAGATCCCTGTGTAGGAACCTACAAGTACCTGGATGTGGCTTACACCTGTGGCTAAACGTGAGGCACGCACACTAACGCATGCACACACGACTGGGAAGTAGAATGCTGGGGCTGACCGTTTTGTCTTGCAGGAGATCTTCTCTGAGGAACAAAGACCAGAGAGACTTCTGGGATATCTTGCTCTTCATTGGTTGGATGTCTTCTCTCCTCCTTTGACATCTCAGTTGAGAGTAAAATCTATGTAAATTGCATGTTTCCATGTAAAGTTCAAGATTTGTAAATCACATTCATTGTGTATTTTGTTGTAGGCATTTGTGTGTAGTGAGGCCCTCTGGAGTAAAAAAAATACTAAATGAGGCCTTCTGGAGCTTTATCCCTGGTGCTGCAGCAAGGCACGGTCAGGAGGACTCATGGAGAAATCAAACATTAACCCCAGAAAATTAACTTTATTTCAAATAACATTACCATAATGTTTTGAATAAATACTTTAGTACAATGTTGCTTTTACTGAACTGAGGTGGTGGGTCTGGATTAAACTAAGCAGCAAAAGACAAGCCTTGGTGTCTTTTGTTCAATACTATGAAACATGTCCACATTAAGTACTTTATTTGAATCCACAAATTATATAAAAGGATTCAAACATTTCAAAGGTATTGGATACATGGACACTTAAGAATACAAAAAGCACATGGCAAAGTAATAAACTTTATGGCCTGAATACAAAGTGTTATGTTTGGGGCAAACCACATTACTGAGTACCAGTCTTCATATTTTCAAGCATGGTGGTGGCTACATTGTTGTGGGTATGCTCATCATCGGCAGGGACTATGGAGTTTAGAATAAAAATTAATGGAATAGAGCTAAGCACAGGCAAAATCCTGGAGGAGAACTTAGTTGAGGGAGACAAATTAACCTAAAACGCAAGGCCAAATATACACTGGAGTTGCTTACCAAGACAACGTTGGATGTTCCTGAGTGGCCTAGTTTTGCCTTATATCGACTTAAACTACGGCAAGACTTAAATGGCTGTCTAGCAATGGTCAACAACCAACTGTACAGAGCTTGAATTTTAAAAGTAATGTGCAAATATGGTACAATCCAGGTATGCAAAGCTCTTAAACTTACCCAGAAAAGGTAACAGCTGTAATTGCTGCCAAAGGTGATTCTAACACGTATTGACTCGGGTGTGAATACCTATGTAAACTAGATATTTCTGTATTTCATTTAATACGTTTGCAAAATAATTATTGAAAATGTGTAGATGGGTGAGATTTATTTTAACATCCGTTTTGAATTCAGGCTGTAACACTGGAATAAGTCAAGGTATATGAAGGCACTGGACACACAGACCGGAGTTATTGTGGCATGTCACTACCTCACTGTCCAACCCAGCAGTATGAACAGAAGAGCAAACTGAAGAGGAAGAAAATGTTCAGCAACTTTTTCCAGTTGTCCATTCTTAAGAATTTACCGGGACCTGGCATCCACAGGAGATGGTAGTCGACACATACACGTGGACGCAGGACTTCAAGGGCAAAAGTGCTCATATTGACGGTGAACAAAATTAAAATATACATTCAACTTCTTCACACTTTAGATCAGAACTGAATGTAGCCAAAATCAAGCCAAAACACAAATGCTCAAATTGACTCCCACACAACTAAGAGGACAGGGCAAGCAGTCACTGTTCCATTCACAGACCGTCATGAGAGACCAGCCTGCTTGAATAGAAAGGTTTCCCTCCACAAACCTGGGGTATACCAACAAAGCCAAACCACAGGGATGTTGGAGGGGAAATTATTATTCAATGTAAACAGGCAATAAACATCACTTCATGCATCACCTTCAACTCGCAAATGGTATACCAATAACATAAATCAAGATTTTGTAACAGGAAAACTACTGTGAAAGCTGGTTTTCATCTGAATCTATAAAAGACCTTCCCCTAAATCTGTTCTGATATCACCTGACTTACAATGCCTTCGGAAAGTATTCAGACTCCTTGACTTTTTCCACTTTGTTACGTTACTGCCTTAATCTAAAATGGATTTACATTTTAAAAATCCTCAGCAATCTACACACAATACCCCATAATGAAAGTGAAAACAGGTTTTTAGAATTTTTGGCAAATGTATCAAATAAAAAAAACTGAAATACCTTATTTACATAAGTATTCAGACCCTTTGCTATGAGACTCAATTTAGCTCAGGTGCATCCTGTTTCCATTGAACATCCTTGAGCTGTTTCTTGATTGGAGTCCACCTGTGGTAAATTAAATTGATTGGACATGATTTGGAAAGGCACACACCTGTCTATATAAGGTCCCACAGTTGACAGTGCATGTCAGAACAAAAACGAAGCCATGAGGTCGCAGGAATTGTCCGTAGAGCGCCGAGACAGGATTATGTCGAGGCACAGATCTGGGGAAGGTTACCAAAACATTCTGCGGCATTGAAGGTCCCCAAGAACACAGTGGCCTCCATCATTCTTAAATTGAAGAAGTTTGGAACCAGGGAGAAGGGCCTTGGTCAGGGAGGTGACCAAGAACCCGATGGTCACTCTGACAGAGCTCTAGAGTACCTCTGTGGAGATGGGAGAACCTTCCAGAAGAACAACCATCTCTGCAGCACTCCAACAATCAGGCCTTTATGGTAGAGTGGCCAGACAGAAGCCACATCTCAGTAAAAGGCACATGACAGCACTCTTGGAGTTTGCCAAAAGGCACCTAAAGACTCTCAGACCATGAGAAACAATATTCTCTGGTCTGATGAAACCAAGATCGAACTCTTTGGCCTGAATGCCAAGCGTCACATCTGGAGGAAACCTGGCATCCTCCCTACGGTAAGCATGGTGGTGGCAGCATCATGCTGTGGGGATGTTTTTCAGCGGAAGGGACTGGGAGACTAGTCAGGATCAAGGGAAAGATGAACGGAGCAAAGTACAGAGGGATCCTTGATGAAAACCTGCTCCAGAGCCCTCAGGAACTCAGACTGGGGCTAAGGTTCACCTTCCAACAGGACAACGACCCTAAGCACACAGCCAAGACAATGCAGGACTGGCTTCGGGACTCTGAATGTCCTTGAGTGGCCCAGCCAGAGGCCGGACTTGAACCTGATCGAACATCTCTGGAGAGACCTGAAAATAGCTGTGCGGCAACGCTCCCCATCCAACCTGATAGAGCTTGAGAGGATCTGCAGAGAAGAATGGGAGAAACTCCCCAAATATAGGTGTGCCAAGCTTGAAGCGTCATACCCAAAAAGACTCGAGGCTGTAAGGTGCTTCAACAAAGTACTGAGTAAAGGGTCTGAATACTTATGGAGTTATGATTTCAGTATTTTAAAATAAAAAATGTATTTGCAAAACTGTCTAAACCTGTTTTTGCTTTGTCATTATGGGGTATTGTGTGTAGGTTGATGAAGGGGGAAAAAACAATTTAATCAATTTTAAAATAAAGCTGTAACCTAACAAAGTGGGTCTGAATACTTTCCGAATGCACTGTATGTGAGGAGTGTATCACTTTCAGAATCAGTGGAGAGGTTGGTTGGTTGGGAGAACTGTCTACGCTAGGTTATTCCAGGGAAAGCAACTGGAGATTTGGCGAAGCTATGCAGCAAATGCCTGATCCCTTCCTGTCTGTCTATGTTGTGAAGGTATTTCTGTCCCCCTTTAGGCTTTCTGAAGCCAGAATGAGACAAAGAGGGATTAGACTGAGATGTCATAAACAAGACCAGGAATTATCGGAGCCAACTGTTGCCATTGTTTCCATCAGCTTCATTCATTGGGAGTTCAATTTGGCTTCCAATTTGTTTTTTCACCTTTTATTTAACCAGGTAAGCCAGTTGAGAACAAGTTCTCATTTACAACTGCGACCTGGCCAAGATAAAGCAAGCAGTGCGATAAAAACAACACAGAGTTACATATGGGGTAAAAAAACAAAGTCAAAAATACAACAGAAAATATATATACAGTGTGTGCAAATGTAGCAAATTATGGAGGTAAGGCAATAAATAGGCTATAGTGCAAAATAATTACAATAGTATTAACACTGGAATGCTAGATGTGCAAGAGATTATGTGCAAATAGAGATACTGGGGTGCAAAAGAGCAAAATAAATAACAATATAGGGATGAGGTAGTTGGGTGGGCTAATTTCAGATGGGCTGTGTACAGGTGCAGTGATCGGTAAGGTGCTCTGACAACTGATGCTTAAAGTTAGTGAGGGAGATAAGAGTCTCCAGCTTCAGAGATTTTTGCAATTCGTTCCAGTCATTGGCAGCAGAGAACTGGAAGGAATGGCGGCCAAAGGAGGTGTTGGCTTTGGGAATGACCAGTGAGATATACCTGCTGGAGCGCAGACTACGGGTGGGTGCTGCTATGGTGACCAATGAGCTAAGATAAGGCGGGGATTTGCCTAGCAGTGATTTATAGATGGCCTGGAGCCAGTGGGTTTGACGACGAACATGTAGTGAGGACCAGCCAACAAGAGCGTACAGGTCACAGTGGTGGGTAGTGTAAGGGGCTTTGGAGACAAAACGGATGGCACTGTGATAGACTACATCCAATTTGCTGAGTAGAGTGTTGGAGGCTATTTTGTAAATGACATCGCCGAAGTCAAGGATCGGTAGGATAGTCAGTTTTACGAGGGCATGTTTGGCAGCATGAGTGAAGGAGGCTTTGTTGCGAAATAGGAAGCCGATTCTAGATTTAACTTTGGATTGGAGATTATTTATGTGAGTCTGGAAGGAGAGTTTACAGTCTAACCAGACACCTAGGTATTTGTAGTTGTCCACATACTCTAGGTCAGACCCGTCGAGAGTGGTGATTCTAGTCGGGTGGGCGGGTGCCAGCAGCGTTCGATTGAAAAGCATGCATTTAGTTTTACTAATGTTTAAGAGCAGTTGGAGGCTACTGAAGGAGTGTTGTATGGCATTGAAGCTCGTTTGGAGGTTTGTTAACACAGTGTCCAATGAAGGACCAGATGTATACAAAATGGTGTCGTCTGCGTAGAGGTGGATCTGAGAGTCACCAGCAGCAAGAGCGACATCATTGATATACACGGAGAAAAGTGTCGGCCCAAGAATTGAACCCTGTGGCACCCCCATAGAGACTGCCATAGGTCCAGACAACAGGCCCTCCGATTTGACACGCTGAACTCTATCTGAGAAGTAGTTGGTGAACCAGGCGAGGCAGTCATTTGAGAAACCAAGGCTATTTAGTCTGCCAATAAGAATGCGGTGGTTGACAGAGTCGAAAGCCTTGGCCAGGTCGATGAAGACGGCTGCACAGTACTGTCTATTATCAATCGCGGTTATAATATCGTTTAGGACCTTGAGCGTGGCTGAAGTGCACCCATGACCAGCTCGGAAACCGGATTGCATAGCGGAGAAGGTACGGTGGTATTCGAAATGGTCGGTGATCTGTTTGTTAACTTGGCTTTCAAATACTTTCGAAAGGCAGGGCAGGATGGATATAGGTCTGTAGCAGTTTGGATCTAGAGTGTCACCCCCTTTGAAGAGGGGGATGACCGCGGCAGCTTTCCAATCTCTGGGGATCTCAGACGTTATGAAAGAGAGGTTGAACAGACTAGTAATAGGGGTTGCGACAATTTCGGCGGCTAGTTTTAGAAAGAAAGGGTCCAGATTGTCTAGCCCAGCTGATTTGTAGGGGTCCAGATTTTGCAGCTCTTTCAGATCTTCAGATTGATGACATCACTGTCTAATCCTTCTTCATCTCATTCTAGTACTTTAACCAGGAAGTGTGGGGATGACCCAATGGTAAAAATACAATCTGTATTTAATTTGATTTATTCATTGATCATTTAACTTATTCAGGCAAAATGTTATTGATCCATGTCCAAATTGTATTGTAAAAAAAGCATTAAGAAATTAAAAGTCTTAATAGATTTCCCATCCCCTGTCTCGTTGTCTTTTGCCTGACCAGGATCTTCCAGTAAATGTCCTTACTGGAGGTGGTTTTGAAGGAAAATTAAAATCATGGAAAAAGGATCATGAATTGTAACCAATGAAAGCTACATTGCTCAGGAGAAGGGCGGCAGGTAGCTTAGTGGTTAAGAGCGTTGTGTCAGTAACCGAAAGGTCGCTGGTTCTAATCCCCGAGCCGACTAGGTGAATAATATGTCAATGTGCCCTTGAGCAAGGCACTTAACCCTAACTGCTCCTGTAAGTCGCTCTGGATAAGAGCGTCTGCTAAATTACTAAAATGTAAGGGAATATGTAATAATTTGTTTATTCTCCATTAGTCACAATGTAAAAGTTTTAACATTTCTGGATATTTCAAACAGATGATTTATTTAGGTGAGTTCAGGAGTAGGACTACTTACTAAGTCACAAAATCTGACCCCAAATTCAATATATCCCGTCATTAACTATTTATAGTAATGTATTAATCAAATATTTTATTGATACTAATAAATGCTGTTTAAATAACCATGAAACATTTATGACTTCCACATGTCTTGATTGAGAGTTTCCAGAATATTATCAGTCATCATGTACTCATATAAACGTATGTGTAAGGTAATGAACTCATCAAGACAGCTTGTAGCCTTCTGTATATATTGCTAAGACATGAATGACTGAAAGTAGCCTATATCATCTAATGCAGGGGTTTTCAAACCTTTCTTGCCCAGGGACCCCCACCCAGGCAAACCGGCAACCCAGGGATCCCCATCATATATTAGCAAAAAAAAAGTAAATGTACAGTGCCTTGCAAAAGTATTCATCCCCCTTGACGTTTTTCCTATTTTGTTGCATTACAACCTGTAATTTAAATGGAATTTTAATTGGATTTCATGTAATGGACATACACAAAATAGTACAAATTGGTGAAGTGAAATTAAAAAAATAAATTGTTTCAAAAATTGCTAAAAAATAAGTAACAGAAAAGTGGTGCGTGCATATGTATTCACCCCCTTTGCTATGAAGCCCCTAAATAAGATCTGGTGCAACCAATTACCTTCAGAAGTCACATAATTAGTTAAATAAAGTCCACCTGTGTGCAATCTAAGTGTCACATGATCTGTCACACGATCTCACCTTCCAGCAGGACAATGACCCTAAGCATACTGCTAAAGCAACACGAGTGGTTGAAGGGGAAACATTTAAATGTCTTGGAATGGCCTAGTCAAAGCCCAGACCTCAATCCAATTGAGAATCTGTGGTATGACTTAAAGATTACTGTATACCAGCGGAACCCATCCAACTTGAAGGAGCTGGAGCAGTTTTGCCTTGAAGAATGGGCCAAAATCCCAGTGGCTAGATGTGCCAAGCTTATTGAGACATACCCCAAGAGACTTGCAGCTGTAATTGCTGCAAAAGGTGGTTCTACAAAGTATTGACTTTAGGGGGGTGAATAGTTATGCACGCTCAATTTTAATTCCAGGTTGTAAGGCAACAAAATAGGAAAAATGCCAAGGGGGGTGAATACTTTCGCAAGCTAGTATATGGTCTTATCGTCAGGTGAATGATAATGGAAAGTAGAAGTAATCAACATTTTAAAATAAATAGATTTGGTAGATAGTTTAGTTATTTTGTCCTCCCCACAGTTCATTGGAAGAGAAAGTGTAAACTCTAACAACCTTTTAGCTAGAAAGGTACAGTATCTGGTTTTGGTCGTTTAAGTTGACACAAACAATTTTTCCAATCCTGAAAATTAGCACTTTTTACAGAAAAACCACATAAATGCAGAACCCCCCCCCCGTGTAATTAGCTCCAATGACTGACTGTAATTTCTTCCATATTAAAAAGATAGTTAGAGATTTCAGCAATGAAGCCATTTATTTACTTCCCCAGAGTTGGATGAACAAGTTGTTCCTGTAGACTTTCAGTCATTGCGCTAACACTAGTTAGCATTGGCTCATAAAATGACCTCTAACTTCCATCATACTGGATGCAGAAACATAAAAATGGTATCTACAATGTTATTCTGTTGGAGCTAGCGATATAATAAATAAATAAATAAAAAATCTCACTTAGGTACACCACCAGAGGTCGGTGGTACCTTAATTGCGGAGGACGTGCTCCTGGTAATGGCTGGAGCGGAATTGGTTTGATGCCATTCCAATTACTCCGTTCCAGCCATTATTATGAGCCGTCCTCCCCTCAGCAGCCTCCACTGACTGACACCTACATCCACACCTTCTCTTATAGTTGTGTTACCTTTGATGGTACTATAGTATTTTGCCATGGAAACCCCATAGTTTAGGAACAGAGTTGTTTCTTCATACCTTGGGAGTTGTTCCTTGCCTCTGCTTCCTCTCTTAGGGTTTAGACACAGATTGTGGTTAAAAACCTTGTGACAAATTAAATAAATATTTCCATACCAATAAAGTTTGTTTGATTGATTATGGGCCCAGTGATGTAAGCATGGCGTGTACCCTTCGTAGTTGGGGCACCCAGCTCATGCCCGGGAGGCTGCCCGATTCCAAAACGAATGCAATCAACGCTTATCCGGTTCACCTGGGGCCGGCCAGGCCCATTAATATAATCCCCTCAAGCAAAAATCTTCTCACGGTTGAATGTAATTGGGAATTGAGGATTGATACCAGAGCACGCTCCTTGTAGAGAAGCAGGAGAAACAAGCCAGCTCAAGGTGAGATGATCAAACAATACAAACAACTTGAAATAATCAAAGTTTACACGTGTAATGGGTCCAATAACGAAACTACAAAGGACATAGTCATAACAGAAGGTTGATAGTCCGGTTGAGGATCGTGGGGAAGATGGCGATAACTGAGGTTTTGTTTGAAACCGCTAGTGAGTCGGGTGAAGCTAATAGTACATAAAGTGCGAATGAGTGGGTTACAGTGGCGAAGAAAACGGGAAATAATGAGAAGTAACGCTGTGTTGGGAAAATAAGAAACCACGACTCGTTTTTAGTCGGAGTGAGGGGTTCGGATCAATACTACTTTTGAAATCTGTTTGTCTCCAGGAAAATCTGTGTGTGCGGAACAGAAGAAGCGTGTTTTTTAAGACTCAAAGATCGGAGTGGAACGTTTCCTGTATGGATTTTCGTAGCAGGGCGCCTATCAAGGGGGTTGTTTCTATAATGTGCGTGTGTGGGGAGACACGCACATTGTAGGCTTCAATATGAGGAGGAAATTATAGTCCTAAAAGTGCTTTCCAGTTTCACTGACTCGCCAAATGATACGCAGCTCACACGCCAGTGATGTCCGCATGTTCGTGCCAAAAGCCTATCTCGCTTTCGCTCTTGCTTTACTTTGTAAAACAATATTTGGAAGTTGATCAAATATATTTTGATAGTCTACAGCAGACCGATGTCTTCTCTGTTCAGCAGGGGCCACTTGTTTTCCAACCTATATTTTCCTGCGATTTGTATTTTAAATATTGGGAAAGGCCTGTTGTCTGCATGCTGTTCACTGACAGATTTGCCGCGCGCTCCCGACTGTAGGCTATGCCTTGTTATTGGACTACAAACAATCCACAGCTAGGCAATAAAAAGCTATTGATCATCTGTGGCTAAATTATAGGCCTTCTTATGGTATAGTAGGCTATTCTAAACAGACAGCAGGAATTCTATAACTTTGGCAAATGTATTTCAATTCATCATGCGTGCTGCAGATCCTCCAGAACACTTTGCAGTCCAGGACACTATGATTCTATAAGGAAATAAATGCTACCAGCTCTCGCACATCGGAATGAGACGTTTCTCACATTTAAGTGTTTGAAGAATTGACAAGGAGGCAACTCGAATGAACTTTGATCGCTTTTATTATAATTTTAACATTGCAAAAGGTGAAGGGGGTAAAAAAGTACCGGATCCGACCAAATAGGTTCCGGAACTAAACGGTCCAAAACGGAGGTGCCATCCGGCTCAAATTAAGCACTGGTAGATTTTTTTTCCACTAATGGTGAAATAACTCAATGTTTACTGAAACGTTGAGTATTAAGTTATAATATTATGGGTAAATCGACACCCAGAGAAAATAAAACCCAACGATAACTAAAATGGCTTTTATTCCGTGGTGAATGTGTAAAGTGAGGACGGCACTTCACACATTACTTGTGGTTTGAGCTGGCGTGAGATTTTAGTTCTGTGTTGCCAAAATGACCGCTAATCCGCTGTGCTTTGTATTGATGGTTTGCAAACAATGATCTGTTGACGAGTATCAATATATGTTAATTAAAGGTGTATTTGGCCAGGTGACCATCTGTAGCCTCTTACCTGTTATAACCACAGCTGAACCAGCTACTACCACACCTGTACACAGCATCATGCTCCTTTTAAGACTGACTGCGTTCACCTGTGAGTATACTGAATTGTAACATATGTATTTGCATTCCAGTATTTTCCAGATGTTTCTAAATGTGTCAATTTGTAGTTGAAGTCCAATATAAACAGTATGACCCAGGTCTAGTATACAGCATCCTGTATGATCTGAGGACTAGGTGCTGTTCCATGTCTGTCTATACTCTGTACCATACTATATACTGTACACTCTTTATATACTTACTGTATATGATGTACACTACTTCTCCTGTAAAGAATTGGAAAGGGAAGGGACTGACCAAGGTTAGTAAAGCTGAATTAGCTGTGTTGTTTTTCAGTGCTGGCTGCAGCGTGCTGTACACTACCGGCTGCAGGTACGTGGTTGGTGTGTGTGTGTGTGCGCGCATCTACATCTATAAAGTGATGGTAACTATGTTTCTTCCTCAGCAACTAGAGTGGTCACCTGTGACAATGGAGACAACGTCCAGTTCCTGAGCTGTGGTATGAACACACACTACCCTGATGGTCTCTCCGTAGTGCTGTCGGTCTCTTTACCTGTTCTTATTCTTTCCCTGCTAGATTCTGGAGTGATCTTCATTGAGAGAGCTCTGTACGGACGGACTGACGGAACCACCTGCAAAGAAGGACGAACTGCCAACCAGCTGACCAACACACAGTGTTCACAGACGGGCACCATGGAGGTCCTCTCACAGAGGTACATTCAGTCACAGTGTTTATTTGATAAAGAAAGGCTGGGATTGTCAGAGGTGTGTTGTTGAAAAGCACATCGCAGTAAAGTCAATGTGCCTTTTTAAAGCCATTTTTCCTGACGTTCCCGGTAAACACTGCAGATGTTTGCTTTAAATGTCAAGCGCTGCATGCTTGTTGACAACGCCTTTGATTAAATCCCAGCCATCACTCATCTTACCTCCTGATATCCCCCAGGTGCAATGGGAAACAGGTGTGTGAAGTGAACACTGAAGTCTTCCGTACTTCTGACCCCTGTGTCGGAATCTACAAATACCTGGAAACCACCTACACCTGCATCCTAGCAAGTCAGTCTGTCTTATTATTATAATAATACACCAGGCTAATGTGTGTCTGCTATGATAATGTATGCCTTTGTCTGCCCAGCAGTGGCCAGTGTGGTGTGTAATTCTTGTTTGTTTTGTCCTTGCAGCACGCAGCATCACGTGTGAAGGCTCTGATGCTCTACTAGAATGTGGTAAGGCTCTGAAGCTCTACTAGAATGTGGGGAGGCTCTACTAGAATGTGGTGAGGCTCTGATGCTCTACTAGAATGTGGGGAGGCTCTGATGCCCTACTAGAATGTGGGGAGGCTCTGATGCTCTACTAGAATGTGGGGAGGCTCTGATGCTCTACTAGAATGTGGTAAACTTGTCAACACTCTGCTGTACAGTATACTCACATCTCATATGATTATGTATTATTCACTGTTTATATTACCGTCACTTGCACACCAAAGACCTCCAGCCTTACCTCTGTTCCTCCTCCTCAGATGAAGGTACAATCCAGATCCACAGTGCCAACTATGGTCGCCGTGACCAGCTAGTGTGTTCCTTTAATCGGCTCGCTAACCAACTAGCCAACACCAACTGCCTCAGCCAATCCACCACCGCCAGTAAGGTGGAAAAGAGGTACTGAAACCTGCAGTGTGTACTGTAGTGTTAACCTCTACCTGTAGAAACATGATTAGCGTTAACCTGTATCTGTCGTTGACACAGGTGTGATGGGAATAGCCAGTGTAACGTCCCGGCGTCCAGTTCTCTGTATGGAGATCCCTGTGTAGGAACCTACAAGTACCTGGATGTGGCTTACACCTGTGGCTAAACGTGAGGCACGCACACTAACGCATGCACACACGACTGGGAAGTAGAATGCTGGGGCTGACCGTTTTGTCTTGCAGGAGATCTTCTCTGAGGAACAAAGACCAGAGACTTCTGGGATATCTTCCTCTTCATTGGCTGGATGTGTCTTTCCTGGCGGCCTCCTTTTTGAAGTCTCAATTGAGTGTAAAACATATGTAAACTGCATGTTTCCATGTAAAGTTCAAGATTTGTAAATCAAATGTATTTTGTCGTAGGCATAATTTGTATGTAGTAAAAAAAATACTAAATGAGGCCTTCTGGAGCTTTATTCCTGGTGCTGCAGCAAGGCACGGTCAGGAGGACTCATGGAGAAATGAAACATTAACCCCAAAAATGAATTTTGTGTAATGTAGCTCAGTTGGTAGAGCATGGCGCTTGCAACGCCAGGGTTGTGGGTTTGTTTCCCACGGGGGGCCAGTATGAAAATGTATGCACTCACTAACTGTAAGTAGCTCTGGATAAGAGCGTCTGCGAAATGACTAAAATGTGTACTAAAGTATTTATTCAAAAAAATTCTGAATTGAGGTGATGGGTCTGGATTAAACTAAGCCGCAAAAGACAAGACTTTGTGTGTCTTGTTCAATATTACGAAACATGTCCACACACTTAATGCTTTATTTGAATCCACAAATTACATTATGTTAAACATTTCAAAGGTCTTGGATACATGGGCACTTAAGGAAACAAAAAGCACATTCTTCTGCATAAAATATGGCAAAGAAATAAACTTTGTCCTGAATACAAAGTGTTATGTTTAGGGCAAACACAACACATTACTGAGTACCAGTCTTTATATTTTCAAGTGTGGTGGTGGCTGCATCGTGTGTATGCTTGTCATCGCCAAGGACTATGGAGTTTTTTTTAGGATAAAAATTAATGGAATAGCTACGCACAGGCAACATCCTAGAGGAAAACCTGGTTTAGGGAGACAAATTCACCTTTCAGCAGTAAAATAACCTAAAACACAAGGCCAAATTTACACGAGTTGCTTACCAAGATGATGTTGGAGGTTCCTGAGTGGTGTGGTGGTGAACAACGATGATGTGTTGATAAGAAATCCGCTGACACTGTACTTTGATTATAAAGGTTTATTATATCAAAGATTTCAGCATCAATTTACAGACTCTGCAGAATCTGGAGAGCAATGAAACCAATCCCAAATATGATCATTCTTTTGTTAAAACATGGTATATATATCCTACGCTTTATGTAACATAAGGTGGCGTGATTTGAATAGACCAATCCCTGGCCTCCACATAGCCGAATGTCCTCTGTTTTAGGGGGCCCCTATAATAACACTTTCCAGATGTTTCAGCAAAGTAGAGTAAAGTTCATCTAACTCCCAATATGATAGAAGTTCAGATACTACAGTGGCCTAGTTAGTTTTTCAAGTTGATTTAAGTCAAAACTATGGCAAGACCTAAATGACTGTCTAGCAATGGTCAACAACCAATTTGACAGAGGTTGAAGAATTGTAAAAGTAGTGTGCAAATATTGTACAATCCAGGCATGCAAAGCTCTCAGACTTACCCAGAAAGGCTCACCGCTGTCAAAGGTGATTCTACCATGTATTGACTCAGGGGTGTGAATACTTATGTAAGTTAGATATTTCAGTATTTCATTTAATACGTTTGCAAAAAAAATGAATGTGTAGATAGGTGAGATGTTTTTAAAATCTGTTTTGAATTCAGGCTAACACAGTGAAATAAGTCAAAGTATACGAATGCTTTCTGAAGGCACTGGACACACTGAGACCTGAGTTATTGTAGCATCTGTCACTACCTCACTGTCCAACCCAGCAGTATGAGCAAACTGAAGAGGAAGAAAATATTCAACTCTTTCCAGTTGTCCCTTAAGCATTTACAGGGACCTGGCGTCCACAGGAGATGGTAGTCCACACATACATGTGGACGCAGGACTTCAAGGGCAAAAGTGCATTTGCAAAAGCAGTGGAGTGCTCCTATTTACAGTGGACAACAATATATACAGTGGGGAGAACAAGTATTTGATACACTGCCGATTTTGCAGGTTTTCCTACTTACAAAGCATGTAGAGGTCTGTATTTTTTTTAATCATAGGTACACTTCAACTGTGAGAGATGGAATCTAAAACAAAAATCCAGAAAATCACATTGTATGATTTCTAAGTAATTAATTTGCGTTTTATTGCATGACATAAGTATTTGATCACCTACCAACCAGTAAGAATTCTGGCTCTCACAGACCTGTTAGTTTTTCTTTAAGAAGCCCTCCTGTTCTCCACTCATTACCTGTATTAACTGCACCTGTTTGAACTCGTTACCTGTTTAAAAGACACCTGTCCACACACTCAATCAAACAGACTCCAACCCCTCCACAATGGCCAAGACCAGAGAGCTGTGTAAGGACATCAGGGATAAAATTGTAGACCTGCACAAGTCTGGGATGGGCTACAGGACAATAGGTAAGCAGCTTGGTGAGAAGGCAACAACTGTTGGTGCAATTATTAGAAAATGGAAGAAGTTCAAGATGACGGTCAATCACCCTCGGTCTGGGGCTCCGTGCAAGATCTCACCTCGTGGGGCATCAATGATCATGAGGATTGTGAGGGATCAGCCCAGAACTACACGGCAGGACCTGGTCAATGACCTGAAGAGAGCTGGGACCACAGTCTCAAAGAAAACCATTAGTAACACACTACGCCGTCAAGGATTAAAATCCTGCAGCGCACGCAAGGTCCCCCTGCTCAAGCCAGCGCATGTCCAGGCCCGTCTGAAGTTTGCCAATGACCATCTGGATGATCCAGAGGAGGAATGGGAGAAGGTCATGTGGTCTGATGAGACAAAAATAGAGCTTTTTGGTCTAAACTCCACTCGCCGTGTTTGGAGGAAGAAGAAGGATGAGTACAACCCCAAGAACACCATCCCAACCGTGAAGCATGGAGGTGGAAACATCATTATTTGGGGATGCTTTTCTGCAAAGGGGACAGGACGACTGCACCGTATTGAGGGGAGGATGGATGGGGCCATGTATCGCGAGATCTTGGCCAACAACCTCCTTCCCTCAGTAAGAGCATTGAAGATGGGTCGTGGCTGGGTCTTCCAGCATGACAACGACCCGAAACACACAGCCAGGGCAACTAAGGAGTGGCTCCGTAAGAAGCATCTCAAGGTCCTGGAGTGGCCTAGCCAGTCTCCAAACCTGAACCCAATAGAAAATCTTTGGAGGGAGCTGAAAGTCCGTATTGCCCAGCGACAGCCCCGAAACCTGAAGGATCTGGAGAAGGTCTGTATGGAGGAGTGGGCCAAAATCCCTGCTGCAGTGTGTGCAAACCTGGTCAAGACCTACAGGAAACGTAATTGCAAACTCTGTAATTGCAAACAAAGGTTTCTGTACCAAATATTAAGTTCTGCTTTTCTGATGTATCAAATACTTATGTCATGCAAATTAATTACTTAACAATCATATAATGTGATTTTCTGGATTTTTGTTTTAGATTCCGTCACTCACAGTTGAAGTGTACCTATGATAAAAATTACAGACCTCTACATGCTTTGTAAGTAGGAAAACCTGCAAAATCGGCAGTGTATTAAATACTTGTTCTCCCCACTGTATATTCATAAACTTCATCCCACTCTAGATCAGAAGTGAATGTAGCCAAAATCAGGCCAAAACACAATGAAATGCTCAAATTGACTCCCACACAACTAAGAGGACAGGGCAAGCAGTCACTGTTCCATTCACAGACCGCCATGAGACAGACCAGCCTGCTTGAATATAAAGGTTTCCCTCCACAAACCTGGGGTGTTGGAGGGTAAATTATTATTCAATGTAAACAGGCAATAAACATCACTTCATGCATTACCTTCAACTCACAAAACCAAACGGTATACCAAGAATATTATTATATTCATATAAATGTTGTAACAGGAAAACTACTGTGAAAGCTGGTTTTCATCTGAATCTATAAAAGCTCTTCTCCTAAATCTGTTCTCATATCACCTGACTTACAATTCCTTCGGAAAGTATTCAGACACCTTGACTTTTTCCACTTTGTTACGTTACAGCCTTAATCTAAAATGGATTGACATTTTAAAAATCCTCAGCAATCTACACACAATACCCCATAATGACAAAGTGAAAACAGGTTTTTAGAATTCTTGGCAAATTTATAAAATAAAATAAAACAGAAATACCTTATTTACATATGTATTCAGACCCTTTGCTATGAGACTCGAAATTGAGCTCAGGTGCATCCTGTTTCCTTTGATCATCCTTGAGATGTTTCTACAACTTGATTGGAGTCCACCTGTGGTAAATTCAATTGATTGGACATGATTTGGAAAGGCACACACTTGTCTATATAAGGACCCACAGTTGACAGTACATGTCAGAACAAAAACAAAGCCATGAGGTCGCAGGAATTGTCCGTAGAGCTCCGAGACAGGATTGTGTAGAGGCACAGATCTGGGGAAGGGTACCAAAACATTTCTGCGGCATTGGAGGTCCCCAAGAACACAGTGGCCTCCATCATTCTTAAATGGAAGAAGTTTGGAACCAAGGAGAAGGGCCTTGGTCAGGGACGTGACCAAGAACCCGATGGTCACGCTGACAGAGCTCTAGAGTACCTCTGTGGAGATGGGAGAACCTTCCAGAAGAACAACCATCTCTGCAGCACTCCACCAATCAGGCCTTTATGGTAGAGTGGCCAGACAGAAGCCACATCTCAGTAAAAGGCACATGACAGCCCGCTTGAAGTTTGCCAAAAGCCACCTAAAGACTCTCAGACCATGAGAAACAAGATTCTCTGGTCTGATGAAACCAAGATCGAACTCTTTGGCCTGAATGCCAAGCGTCACATCTGGAGGAAACCTGTCACCATCCCTACAGTAAGTATGGTGATGGCAGCATCATGCTGTGGGGATGTTTTTCAGCGGCAGGGACTGGGAGACTAGTCAGGATCGAGGGAAAGATGAACAGAGCAAAGTACAGAGAGATTCTTGATGAAAACCTGCTCCAGAGCCCTCAGGAACTCAAACTGGGGCTAAGGTTCACCTTCCAACAGGACAACGACCCTAAGCACACAGCCAAGACAACGCAGGACTGGCTTCGGGACTCTGAATGTCCTTGAGTGGCCCAGCCAGAGGCCGGACTTGAACCCGATCGAACATCTCTGGAGAGACCTGAAAATAGCTGTGCGGCAACACTCCCCATCCAACCTAACAGAGCTTGAGAGGATCTGCAGAGAAGAATGGGAGAAACTCCCCAAATATAGGTGTGCCAAGCTTGTAGCGTCATACTCAATAAGACTTGAGGCTGTAAGGTGCTTCAACAAAGTACTGAGGAAAGGGT